TCTTGAAGGTTGAAAGCGCTTTATAAATGAGTCTGAATAGAAAATAATCATTATCCACAGAGTACACAGGGCAAAGATATTAACACAGAGCTAATGTAAAAACCTTATTAACCTTCTTTGACTGTGTTACAAATGATATGTTTTAACTTTGCACTTCACTTGATCTTTATCGTTTCATTTTCTGTTATCCGTACACTAAAAATGAACGTGCTTGTGAAGTTGTGAGGCTCTAAAATCAAATAGAAATCTGGAGACATTAGTCGTCGTCAGGAGTCGTCTGTTTCCACGGCGGCGCTTATGGAAGTCATAAAGACGTGACAGTAAGATAAGTATTCAGATGGTGCACAGTGGTCTAATGGCTCCAGCTTTATTTCAGATGCAGATATTTCTCAGGGATTTGGCCTGGATGTGTCTGGATCAGTGAAAACTCCGCGCTCTCTCTGTAGGGATTGTTTATAAAGCCTGGTGGAGTTTAAAGATGTAAACACAGATGAGTTATGAAGAAGAATAACAGGCCCAAAACAGCCTGTAAACAGACCTATGTGATATCAGGGGAGTGGTACAGAGGACAAGGAATGATTTTATGCCCCAGAATCATGGCTGTTTTCAAGATGTATATGATGTAGCGTCATCCCCATTCACTGATAGAGATAGGAAGGCTTATTTTGTGTTAGTGACTCATGTAAATTTAAGAAGGAAAAGTGTGAAGAATCCCTCAGTCGTTCAGGTAGAATCTATGGTGAGGAGAAAATTCAGTTTGTTGACTGGACAAAAGTTAGTTAGGTTGAGCTCCAACACAGACGAGACAGCAGCAGTGGACCTCAGTCTGCTGTACATCTCCACTTAAAATCCATGGGCCACTCATTTGAGGACAGCGAGGTACAGATTTTAGCCAGAGAAAAGAACTGGTTTGAGAGGGGAGTGAAACAAGCCATTTTTGTTAAGAAAGAGAATCCTTCTCTAAACAGAAATGGAGGACTCAGACACCATCTATCTCCTATTTACAACTCCATCCTTAAACCTAAATCAAAACAAACAAGAAAACAATAGGTGTATCCAGGTCAGGTCCAGATGTGTGGAAGCTCCATTATGGCCATGAATTGTTATGCTAATTAGGTCAATAGGCCTAGCTAACAAACAGAAACTGTAAACAAGTAGGTGTGTTAGTTTCAGTTACTTAGCTCGTCCCTGCAGATATAAGGAAGTGTCCACCAACACTCTAACCAGAACTGAAGAAGCAGCTTGGATGACGTCTTCAACCAAACTAACTTTTGTCCAGTCGACAAACTGAATTTTCTCCTCGCCTTAAGAAGGAAAAGGCGTATGCGGAAATATGTGTATTTACAAAATTTAATTATTTTGCCTAAATAAAGTGTGTTTTTTAATTATTATCATTGTGATATTGGAATCGGTATTGAGTATCAAATCTATTGCTTAGTATTAAAATAGTTTGAAAGTTTAGAATCATAACTACACTAGAGATCGACCAATATGGAGTATTTTTATGGTTTATGCTGATAACGATTGTTTAGGATCCAGAGAAACAGATGATTGATAATCTCTGCCGATATTTTTGGGCCGATTTGTAGGACAGAATTTTGTAATTTTACCCAAATTATCTAATTTGAATTTGGTACAAACTCATTCACAACCTTGTCTTACTATAAACAGTAACAGAGTTCAGTGTGGGCACATTTTGCAATACAATATACAGTATTTATTATTTACCATTGTTTTTGCTCATTTTTGTCATTGTTTTTGGCAAAACTTTTACAGGTTATATGTACATTGAAATGAATCACCTCGTCATCGTATTGAAAATGATTTGCATCTAGATATGTTGTTTCTGTGTCCGCAAGCCTTCCCTATCCACACCGCTTTGTGCATATTTGTTTACATTTTACAGAAATGAAACTTAAAACCACATGGCTAATTTGCATAAACTAAGCACTCAAAAAACTGCTCGCTCCTTGTGCCCTGATGTGGTCAACTTCTGTCGGACTTTAAAAGGACACGACTCAGTGGAATATGAGTGTTCTTTCTGTGACTGTGGGGTGTTCTGCTAATGGTGAGTCTGTTCTGTGCAAATAGTTCTAGCTACTCTGTTTCCTGTGTCTATGGTTTGTTTAAACTGTTTTCTGCAATAGCGTCACATGACCGATGTCACGAACCCAGTAATCCAACAAGGACGCAACTAGAGCTCCTACATCAGCGTATCAACATTTTCAGGCATCCACACAGTGCCGGATCAGATCTGTACTCAGATGAATTCGTTCCGTCTCTGGAGCCGGTTTCTATCAGATTAGTGTGGACGAACACTGCATCCGCAAAGAAAATGACTGAAATACGTACATGTGTGGATGGGGCCTTATCTGATTTGACCTACTCTAGTTTTTGGAGTGGGCACAGAGGCAGTTTTGCAATGTCTTAAAGGTGCAAATTATCTCATTAAAATTATGACAAACTCATCCATGACCTTGCCTTCCTACAAACAGGATAAGAGATCAGTGTGGTCACATTTTAGCAGTACCCTTTTTGGACTGAAGTGTTCAAATAAAGGTTATTTTATGCACTCTTTACCCATATGGGGGCAGCTGGGAAGCCAAACAATATATCGACCTCTGCTGGAGTTTAAGACCGATAACCAATGCATTAAAAAGTGTAAAAATTGGTCTGATATATCTCTCAATCTCTAGACAGCACTATGCAATTTCACTCTAGTACTGTTTATTTTTTCCTACTTTAGATTATTACCTCTTGCAGCTTAGAAATAGGCATTTTTTCTTTTGTTTTACATGGAGTACTCTAAATTACATATCCGACATTGTGTTTTCCCTGCATGAACTGATGTTGATGCAAAATCGTCACTTTCGGCCTCATTTCCCCGTGACCTCTGCAGCCGCTCATCCGGAGAGCGTAAACATGTGCTACACCAACATAGCATTTGTGAGACATTATGATACGGTCACACCCCTGTACCCACGCCTGCTAACGGATACGCTACAATTACACTCAAAGTCCCTCATCTAAACACAGAGGTGAGTGATTGTAGAGGAGCAGATAACGAGGAGATCTCTGTAATGAATAGGAATAATCAGAAAGTCTCCGTGTGGTTGTCCAGCTCTCGTCAGCACATCTCTCCTCTCTGTGCTTCCCCAGTGGGCTCATTAGAGACTGCTGAACGCCGCTCAACACTGAAATGCAACATATTTATTATTTACCATTGTTCGCATTCGTTTTTGTTGTGTTTTTTTTGTTTTTGGCAAAACTTACAGCTCTCCGCGTTCTGTAACTTCACACTGTAATCTTTAATCTGATTTGACCTACTCTAGTTTTCGGAGAGGCAGTTTTGAGATGTCTTAAGTAAGAGGATTTTCATTTTTAGCTGCGTTTGAACTGGATAAGCAATATTTTTCTATCACCAGTCATCTTCAACTCTCAATATAAAAAATAAAACTTGGCAGTGTCACAGTCTCAAAGTTTCTTTTTACCAGCCAGTCAAATTGTACCAGTCTTGCAGTGGTAAATTCTTGTAGACTTCTATTTACCTTACACAACAATATGAATTCCAACAATATTTAGGAGTTCACAATGTCTCATTCTGCCACTGGAGGCCTGGTCCAATCACATGGCATCATTGTGATTTGGGCAGAAGTCAAAGAATCCACACAAACCAAAACAAACATGGACATTTTAGCAGGAACACAGGCTATTTTTTTTTTTTTTAAACATAGTTATGCAAAGTTTGATTTCTTGCTTTCCTCAGCCAGTTTTGTACAAATCTACCTTTTTCTGTGTAGAAAAATTTGGTCAAAATAAGTGACAATGCTCATTTTGGTTAGGGGTGTGCACATATATCAAAATATCGATAAACATACACTACTGGTCAAAAGTTTTAGAACACCACACTTTTTCCATTTTTTTACTATTTACTGTTGACCAAAACGCATTCTAAACTTTTGATTCATGAACGTGTCCATCTTTGGCAGATATAACAGCTGAACACACTCATGGCTTGTTCTTTTTACAATAGAAATCAAATATTCTTCAGAAAGTTCTTCCCAAGTCTGTTGCAGAAGTTCCCATAAATGTGTGGCACTTGTAGGTCGCTTCACTCTTCTGTCCAGTTCATCCCAAACCAGCTCGATGGTGTTTAAGTCTGGACACTGTGCTGGACACTCCATGTTTTCAAGTTCACCATCTTGTTCTTTTTCCTGAGGTAGTTTTGGCAGAGCTTGGACTTGTGTTTTGTATCTTTTAACTTATTTTTAACCTCTGACTGTTCAGTTCTTACCTTTATACCATTTCGAGCTAATTATTGGACTTTCAAGACTTGAGTTGCAATAAATAACTGGAAAAATGTGGGTGTTCTAAAACTTTTGACTGGTAGTGTATTGTGATACTAAATTTGGTGCACTGCTGTAGTGATGTATATCACCAAAAGTATTTTTTGGTATCTTTTAGCAGGTTTTTCTGTGACCGCGCTACAATTTTGCTGTTTATTTAGTGGAAGGAAACATTTTTATGCAATATATATTCTGTTTTGTTGTTTAAAATAGATGTATTTCATATTAATTTTGCACAAATAGTAGTTTAACAAAGAAATTTTGTCTCATGTATCACCACATCGTGAACAATATCATGTATTGAGAATTGTATTGAATCATGAAGGATCCTGTGATCACCAGCCCTAATTTTGTTAAATAATTGGCAAGCACTCAAATGATAAACAAGCCAATGCTAACAAAACTTTGAAAAAAAAAATTTTTTTTTGCTATTTTTGAACTCATAACACAAAGCTTCCATTAATAAAAGGTGCATTGTGTAAATTTTCTAGTGGAGGGTCCGTCAAATGCTTTTCTCTGTGGAGATGTTATTACTTTGTCTGTCATGTTTCACAGTGTGATATTAAACCTTTTGTGATAGTATCGGGTTTATGGGTCACAAACCCGCCTATAAAAGGGGCACTATGCGCTACGCTCGCCCCTCCCTCCTGAACGCCGACCGCTGACGTTGCACGCTGGCGGAGCCAAGCTGTCATGGCCGCAAGACGCGAGGCCCCGAGTGGACCACGTTTAGGCGCACTAAGTTTACTGTTGCAAGGTGTTCAGCGCAGTAATTGCGGAGAGTGTGCGGGCATCGTGGGGGTAAGTGGGGAAATCGTCTTGCTGGCTCAGTAACGCCGTGCGTGAGGTTAACGCGGGTTGTGTTTTTTAGCGTTTGTGTCTCGGCGCTGGGCGGTCCTCTGCGTGTTTGGGTGGCGTGCCGCGGTGAATTCTACACGGTATGTCGCTATGGTTTATTTTGTGTTCCTCTTTGTCGTGTGTATTGTATGTTAAATGTAACATGTTATATTTAGGCTCCTGCTGGCGGGAAGCCTCCCCTTTTCTTTCTCTTTTAATATTCTCCGTGTACCTGGTCTGTTCTGTGGTCGTGGCCCTTGGCTCTCTGAAGTCTTCGTCTTGGGGGAAGAGCTACTGCGAGGCGCAATATTGACTGTGATAATGGTCCTAAGGTAACTCCAAGCAACGAGGCCATGCGACCCAACGAACGCACAGGACTGGTGGAGGATATTTGTTATTAACCCTTTGCAAAAATGGATAATAAATTCAATGTAAAGTATATCAAGTCTCACGCCATATTCAGTCAACAAACCTGTGTGTCTATAGTGGGTGGGGAAAAACACTGTGTCCTGGCATTACCAGGTGGCGTTGTTGGCAACTTTACTACCTTGAAGTACATGTACAAATATGCTGCTCTGCTACACTTTCTATCTTCATGGAGACCAAACCGGGCCAAGTTACAGGTCAGATCTATGGTGAGGCGACCCCACTCACAGTCAGAATCCCTGTTTTTCGAGGTATTTTGAGCTGTAAAATCACCATTCATTTAATAAGTGCAAGGTAGAAGTGATTAATGTCATACTATGAAACACTCCAGAGCAATGCCATATCCATAGAAACAAGTAGATGACGAACGACCAGCTAAAAAGTTACATAGTGCACCTTTAACTATATTTCTTGTGTGAGTGGTCTTTGAGTGTTGAGTGTAAACCTGACATTTCCGTGCCCTCGTGTGTCTGCCTGGGCCTCATTACATTTGGACGATCATCTCAGACTTGTCATGCAGTAATTAGCAATCGATTGATATCCTTTCAGCTATTTTCCCCTCCGTTTGACCTTTGTATCGCTTTAGACGCTCGTTAAATTTAATGGCTGAACAGAGCAATGCATGATGGGAGGAGGAGTCGGAGAAGTTCTTGTCTAAAGTAGTCCACGACCTTTAGCTTCAACATGGTGGTGACTTTGTGAAGAAGTGGCCATCTGCTGATCCTAACTAAATTACGTCAGATGTGTTGACAGCTTGAAGTTTATAATAACATCGCATTGTAAATATATAGTGTGCACTGTGTTCACTGATTAGTCTGAGGTCACAATGAGTTACCCATTGTACCTCTACTTAATAAATGAGGGTCACTCTCCTCATCAGAAGCCATGCAAAGTTTCAATGGAAAGTTATGCAACAATTCCTACAAACTTTTTAAATGAGTTTTAATGAGAATCTTGGAGCGTATATTGATATTTTATAGCTGATCAACATTCCCTGCGGGTGTGATGCTAACTAAAAGCACTACTCAAACTGAAGCTCGGTTACTCAAATTAGATTCAACCTCAATTTACACCAAAGCAGTAACAACGCATAAGTGCAGCATACGCACAGGTATCGCTTTCCATTTTAACCAGTCGGAATATTTACACCAGCAGTGTCATATGTACCTCCAACGGCCGGTATTACGCTACACGCCGCTCAAGTTAGGTTGGAGTTGTAATTGTTCATCTCTAGGGGTCTAACAGTTGCCTTCAGGAGCTCAGGGAATGACTCGTGATGGACTACAGAAAGTTTACAGCCACGGAGGATACACATAAAACACTTTAGACATCAGACAGCAACTTAACAAGAACAACTTCTGAAGAAAAAGGCGTGTGGTGCAGACAGTTAAATGGTGAATATCTTAATTAATGCGAGAACCACATATATGGCTTGTTATCTCAGCAAAGCACCGTCTCACTTGTTTTCAACTTTTGTATTGTGATTTAAAACAAAATTCACCCAATCAACTATGAACTCTTAAGCAATGTAACAACTTTAGTGTTTAAATGTGAGAATGCACAGAGGCTGGTTTCACGTCTGGTGTAAACTGACACTTTTAAAAGTATGCGGGTATGCGGAATTTTCCATATGGTATTCCAAGAACACCTCCAGCTCAGTCCTTGTTGACATTTTGTTGCCAGACCTAAGTCATTGGAGTTTATAATACTCCCTACAATGGAAGCATAGCCAGATGGAATGGACAATACATCCATATGAAGTGTTGAGAGTTCATATCACCGGTTCCAGTCCTGACGGTAAATGACCTTGTGTTAGATGGAAACAAAAGGGCGACTGTAGCTCAGTAGTGTTTGTCCACTGATCCAAAGGTTGGCGGTTCAAATCCCACTCTTGATACGAACATCACTGGTAGAGCAGCCAGATCCATTGACTCACAGGTGGGTGGTGCGATTCCGGCTCCCACAGATGAATGGTGTTGTTGTTGTGGTTCCTTGATGTAAAGCGCTTTGAATGTTTTGAAGGTGGAAAAGTGATATATAAAAATGTGATTTACCATTTACATGTCTCTCTTTATAACTTTTGGGCTACATGAATTCTTTCCACAGCAGTCTGAACTTGACATATGAATGAACTTGTATATGACTGAATTGAAGCCCTAGTGAAATGTACAGAAACATACATAAAGAACGTCAGAATGAGTGACTTCTTATTTCTTGAACTTTCAGCTGCAGCTGATAGCACTGGCATTTGCAGGGGATGTACTAAAAAGGCAAATATAACTGCAACTGTCAACTGTAAAACCTTGGGAATTGAAGTGATAGAAACTAAACTGTGATCATTGCCTTAGCAATTAATAAAACTAAATATTCTCATTTGAATGGTCAAAAGTCCTCAGATTGTCACTCATAACTGGAAACTGAAACCCTGGAATAGGAATGGCAGATGCAGCCAAAAGATGTGCAGCTCTCTACCTTAAAGGTGCACTCCTCACCTTTTCTGGTGGAGGGTCTAGCACCTTGTCTCCATGGAGATGTTATTGCATAGCCAGAAATGTTCCATGATATGGCATCAAACATATCCATCTAACATTTGTTCTTTGCCAATATTTCTGTTGCTCAAAAATGACTTTTTCCCTCATTATAGATTAAATCTATACTGTGGAACATTCTAGACAAAGCATTAACTTTCCATGGAGACAAGCAGGTGGCGGACCCGCCACTAGAAAATGTTACACAGTGCACATTTAAATAATTGTGATAACTGATGACCAAAATAATGAAATACTTTTGAGAAATAATTATGATTTTTTTGCTAATTTGAGATGATTTGGTTGGGCTGTTTCTGCAATAACCCTCCAAAGATATGATGCGTTCGATTGCAGTTCGTCTGAGGACACAGCCAGCAGAGTCAGGCCCCAATGTTCTGAGGATCACCTGATTATCCTCTGCACTTTTATTATTTAGTCTATATTGATATTGAGGTGTTCATTACAGGAATAAAAATTAAATTAGGATTTCAGGAATTGAAAATGACAAGAGACACAGTTGAGAACAGGTCAAGGAAACAGGAGAGTGAACCGACCAACCATGACTGTAATCATTATCCAACAGTGAGGAGGGCATACAGATTTATGTACTGTCTGCAAATAGAGACTGTGTTGTGTAGCAAGGTTTGAGGTTCAATTCCTGCTATGATGTCTTTTCACCACCCAAAGATACGCATAGGATGTGGATTAATTGATTTCCACTAGTGGGGGTCTGAATGGAGATGTTGTTTTGCCTGGAATGCTCCACAGTAAAGCATTAACTTCACTATCTTGCATTTACTCAATTACAAGTGTCGCCTTACTGTAGATCATATAGGATAAAGAAATAACAACTCCATGGAGACAAGCAGGTGGAAAACCCTACATCAATGCTGTCTTAAACCTATGAGTTTAGGTACACAGTGGTTGAAAAAGCCACAATTTTCTTTCTATTTTGTTAGCACCAGTCTGTAAAGAACTCATCTGGAAGTAGTTAGCAGAGTCGGGTTTATTTTCATCCATTCTCTGTAAAATAATAAAGTTTCTCGGAAAAGAAGACGAGATCTCTTCTTCACAAAGCAGGTCCAGATGACTCCTCTTCACCTTGTTTGGACAGTTAGGCCTGTGCAAACGTGTGGCACAATATGGGCTTCAAAACTTGATAACAGGTTGATGATGTTATGGTCTTCTCCACAATATAGCTTGACACCAGTGGATCCCAATGGAGCAGAATGAACTTTTTTCTCATAAATTAGTAAATTCAGTTTTTCCCCAGGATGCGTATTGTAAAAGAAGTGCTTTGTGACAAAAATCAGACCACTACAAGCTGTCTTCATTACATTTTCTTTTGAACCTGTAAGAAAGAGCCATGTGAGTCAATATAAGATTTATTGAGCAGCCAGTCCCTTCTACATTTTCTTTGCATCCAGACGAGATTGGAACCAGACACACAGAGAGAAAATCCTCAGTCCAACCAAAGCCACTAATTTGTGTGACTCTCAAATGAGGAAAAATTCTCTTCTCAAATTCTTGTTATATTAAGAACAAATTATGTAGCTTCTTTTTACCTGAGATAAATAATAGTTTGGCGCTTTGACTGTTGATTTTTACAGATACGGTACTTGATTCACCAAGTTTTGTAAAGTCTTGTCAAAGCCCGTGGTTCTGACTGGTTTGGTAAACGACGCTTTGGGATGAGAGCTGTTTAAGAGTGGTTTACTCTGTTTCACTTTTCCTCTAAAAATCCTGTTCTAAAATTGTGTTAGTGTCCAAAAGAATCTTGCATGTGAATATTAGTGATGTTGCAAAGAGTTTGTGAGAGCTAAGAACAAGTTAGAGTTAGAAACACTTTTGTTGTTGCTGTTGTTTGTTACCTCCTCAGAAACATACCTGGAGTTGTGTTTTGCTTCATTCACACATGTTTGAGTACTGTATTTTTCGGACTATAAGTTGCTCCAGAGGATAAGTTGCAGCAGCCAAAAAATGCATAATGAAGAAGAAGAAACAGCAAAACAACAGACTGTTAACGTCACATATGAACAGTTCTTCAGATAACTAGAGCATAAACAACAGAACAGAACAAGTTTACCAAACTCCACATCTCACTCCAAATCACTAAATCCACTGAATTCTTCATCCTCTGTGTCACTTCTAAGCAACTCCACGACCTCCGGTTAGAATTATTCAGGAATTCTGAATCCCAACAGGATGCTTTCAGGTGTCACTGAAGTCCAGGCTTTGTTGATCCATCCAGTGATTTCCAGGAAAGTTGCATGGCGCACACTCCCAGTTGTCACAAGTCTCTTGCGCACTCCAAACTTTCTTTATACTGCTCGATTACTGTTTTCGGCTG